AAATTAACCTTTATATTTGTAGCCTAACCCTGCATGGCTTTTGGTGGTAGATATGACAGTAGTCATATTGTAGATATGACAGTAGTCATATTGTAAACCTCCTACTCTGTCTGTCTGCCGATAAACACTTTCTCTGTCAGACCTACCCCCACTGTCTACCCTGTCACGTCAGCCCGAACGATCACCATTACCTTCTAAACGCTAAGGATTAAGTGATAAAGTATTGCAAAGCCTGCCACTTGCAATGCCTTCCGAATGCGTTTTCCCCGGAAGGCGGTCTCTCTCCCGAGCGCCTGGAGAGAGCGCCCTCCGCCCATTCGAGACTTGCCAAATTCCTTCCCAAGGGCCAGGAGAGGCGCCCAGGGCTCCCCGTCCTGGCGAGGCCTCGGCGCAGGTGAGGGTCTGACAGCGGCATGTGTTCAGACCTTAAATGTGCTGAAAACAAGTGTCCAAACACGCATAAGAATATCAGCTGGCTGTAAAAGTGGTACCTCCGATGAGAAAAAAGAGCCATGCAGGGTTGGTGCGCCACTCAGGGACGGGTACCATCTGCCTTGGTACCAGACCAGTACCAGCAACAGCCACTAACCATGACTCAGGCCTATCCCTTCCAGTTTCTGTCAACGAGCTGCAGAAGAAGCTGGAGGAGGAGGTGGACCGCAGGAGAGAGAGGTGGGAGGAGGAGCAGGGGAAGCACCTGTCGGGGGAGGAGGCGCTCATGTCCTCCACCAGGAGGAACCTCATCCAGCAGGAGGGAGAGGGTGAGTCGCGGCAGAGCCTGGCCTCTGCAAAGGCTTCAGAGATCCTTTCGTTCGAGTCACTCTTGCCTCAGCCGTAGCTTGTAGCGTTGCCTTTGCCTTTAGACGAATACCTCATAACTAATAGATAAATGCATTAACATAGACATTTATATACACATATAAATGTATGTTATATATATGTGTGTGTGTGTGTGTGTGTGTGTATATATATATATACATGTGTGTGTGTGTGTGTGTGTGTGTGTGTGTGTGTGTGTGTGTACAAACAATAACGTGTGCACACAAAGTGAAAACACGACCACAACAGAATCGAAATAAAACGAGCTCCTCATCAGACGCAGATAAGATTGGTCCATTTGAGATTTTACTACATCTGATAAGGAAATTTTACGGGTTCGAAACGTAACGTTTTATTGCGTTTCTATTGTGGTAATTTGTTCACTTTCATATACATATAGATAGATAGATAGCTGAAAGGATAGATAGATAGATAAATGAAAGGATAGATAGATAGATAGATAGATTGATAGATATATAGATAGACAGAAAGACGGATAGATAGATAGATCTATATTTGCCATAGCAATCTTGTTTCATGTAAAAAAAAAAAAAAAAGATAACGCTGCGAGTACGTGGTAAGTACTATTAAATAAGGTCCCATTGATCGACCGAACATTATCTAGTTAACACAATGCAAACGATTATCCCTTTGTTATTCATTCATTCGCATTCATTAGGTGTGTGTGTGTGTGTGTGTGTGTGTGTGTGTGTGTGTGTGTGTGTGTGTGTGTTTGTGTGTGTTTGTATACTTAAAATTATATAGATATATAGATACATCTGCGCAAACAAACGGGTCCCTGTGTAAATGTACAACTGTGTACATTATTTCCTCATCCATAGCTGTCCTATTTTCCAAAGAAATGATTTCCTCCTGTGAAGAAGCTGGTTACTGCCGTCATAGGTTTCCGTGGCCCCTTAATGCATTTCCCACCAGCTAATGTGTGGTTAATTAAAGGAATTAATCAGGCCAGGTAGGGAATTACTAGACCTCTCGCGCTGCCTCGCCCTGTGTTGGCTCACTTCCTGACAGCGTTTTGTGGTAAAGTCGGATACGATGCGATTTTGGTTATAGCATAGTCTCCCCTGGAATGTATTTATTTTGCTATAGATACTATTCGAATGTTGACTTTGCTAAGATTTTTTTTTTTAATGAATGTGCTGTGAGAGAGAGAAGCAGGATGGTTTATTTAATTTATTTGTAGATGCATTTAGAGCATCTGCTTAATCATGTCGAAAGTTATACTGAATGTTTAAGATTACATGAGTAATTTAAGCATTTGGGTACTTTGATAAGTTCCTTTGGTATTACGCGGGGTATTCGATTTCTTCAAATGTCATTCACAGGGAGGTTTTGTCGTTATTGTTTTCGTCACTGAATTACGGAAAATTTATTTTTTTTAGCCTAAGTCCTCCTATTGATTACAAAACTGCTTTCAACTTAGCTCATGGCCCTTCTATTGAAAACTCTGTCACGTGATCCCGTTCGAAACGTAACGTTTTATTGCGTTTCTATTGTGGTAATTTGTTCACTTTCATATACATATAGATAGATAGATAGATAGATGAAAGGATAGATAGATAGATAAATGAAAGGATAGATAGATAGATAGATAGATTGATAGATATATAGATAGACAGAAAGACGGATAGATAGATAGATCTATATTTGCCATAGCAAT